GGTGTGGGTGTGGGAACGGGTGGGGTGGGCGCGGCGCGGCCGTGTGCGCGAAGGGACGCTTCCCGGAAGCTTCCCGGAAGCAGGGAGAAGGGGGGGGGGCAGGGAGAGAGAGAGACCACCTGCAATGTCGCCCTCAATCATCGCCGAAAGGGAAGTGGCGCCCAGCGCAGAGGGCTGCGGCAGCGCGGCGGGGGCTGCGGGGGCTGGGTCCCCAAACCGGCGGATGCCGGGAGCATACCCGACACCGCTGATCACCGTGATCTCGCCGGAGTCGGCGGGAGCGGCCGCCGCAGCCGGCGCTTGGAAGACATTCGTGCCGTAATGGTCCTGCGGCGCGGGCGCGGTCGCGGGCGGCGGCGCGGGCGGCGCCGCCGCTTGTGCCGCCGCCGCCGCCGCGTCGATGGTGCCCGCCTGCGTCCCGCCCGAGCAAAAGTGCGATCCGAACTTTGCGGCAACGCCCGCAGCTGCCGCCGCCACCGGCGGCGGCGGCGGCGGCGGCGGTGCACCCGCCGCAGCCGTGGCGCCCGCCGGACCTGGCGGCGGCGCGGGAGGCGGGCCAGCGGGAGGCTGCGGCGCCGGCGGAGGCCCGGGCGGCGGCACCGGAGGCCCGGGCGGCGGCATCACGCCACCCGGCGGCCACGGCGCGGGCTGGCCGTACCACGGAGGGGCGCCGTAGCCGTGCGGAGGGTAAGGGTACCCGTGAGGGGGCGGGTAGCCGCCGCCCCACATAGTATGCCTTCCGCCTGGATCACACTTCAGCCTCGGGTTTCTTGCCGTCGTCCCTAGGGTGAAGGATCACACGAATTCTTTGTTCTTTTTTTTTTGAGAGAGCGCCTTCGTTGTTAATAGTACAAACCCAATGGTCCTCTGCGAGCGGTCCTTCGTTGCAGTCACGCACACGCACACGCCATGCCGCACCGCGCGCCCGCCCACCGCCCCGCCCAGGCGGGAAAGAGATGAGGAGATGGGACAGCAAAGGAGGAGTACGAGCACGTATGGGAGGGTTCAGTAATGCGCCACGCTGCCCGGCGTCTCTCACTTTCCGGGACAGGCCTGACTATCTACTGTCTGTGCTTCTGCGGCAGCAACTACCTCTACAGCTTTGAATGGTTTGCTGGCAAACCAGACGAGCACGGTCGGGGACAGCCAACCGATGTTGGTGACCTAGAGGAGGGCAACGCGGAGGGTGAGACACCGGCGGAGCTTGCGTACCTGCTGGGGCTGGTGAACCGGCTCATGGGGCACACTTGCAGCGGCGGCACCTCTGGCTGCTCGTGCAACTCAAAATTCGATGGTACCTTTGCATGTCTGTACTCGGACAAGGCCTTCACGTCCTTCAAACTCGCAAAGATGCTCGCCGCTCGCAAAACCTACCTGCTCGGCATGCTGCGCACGAGTGGCCGTCCGAAGCCCACTTCCATGCCGCTGGGCGAGGTCGACGCGGACGGTGCAGCAAACTACTGGCCCTTCCGGGGATACAGCAAAAAGGAGCTCGAGGAGTGGGAGCGTGGGTATGCACGTCGAGCCTACACGAAGCTCAAGGCAGGCGATATTGACTGGCTCATGACCGAGCTGTGGCGCGACGCGCGGTGGGTGACTCTGCTCGGCACGGCGTACATGTCGGAAGAGGAAACGACCGTGCGCCGCTGGGTCAAGGAGCACGGTGAGCGGCGGGAGTTCAAGTGCAGCGAGGCGCTGCAGCGGTACAATAAATACATGGGCGCAGTCGATCAGTTCACCAAAATGCTTGCAGCAACCCGCATGGGCATGGGTCGCTGCAAACAGCGCTTCCACCGCGCCCTCTTTCTCGGGTGGCTCTTGCCGGCCGTCGGTGTGGTCAACGTCCGGACCGCATTTTGTGAGCTGGTCAAGACCAAATTTGGTGGTGCGGCTCTTGCGAGCATCACGAACGGTCACGGCTTCAAAGATTTCAACCGTTGGTTCCAGCGGACACTCGGAAAGCTGCTCATCCGACGGGGGACAACTGAGGCGTCCATCGAGGAGGGGGGCGATGAGCCGCACTTCATGCCGATGACGCGTCGGCTCCACTGGGAACGCCCGCTGCTGCTGCCGCCGCCACCAGACCATGGCATTACCCATGGGAAGCCAGTGAATGTAGAAAAGAATCGCAAATCCCTTCCGGTGCCGGGCAAAAACGAGGTGAAGGGCAAGAAGTCAGTCCCGAATCGCTGGTTCAAGGGGAAAGGGCGTTGCCATCTTTGCGAGTTGCGCGCCACTCGTGCGGCGAGGGAGGCTGGTATCAAAGTCAAAGATGTGGACCCCGATCGCGTGGACGCCCCTGATGTGTCGCATTTGCAAAGTGCGCCTGTGTAAGTTTTGCTGGGATGACTGGCACCAGCGGGAGGCGCCACAACATCTGCGCGAGTGTCAACCCTGCCGGCGTGAGTGCAACTGCGATGGGAACGGCGCAGATGGGCGTTCAGCGCCGCGTGAGGACGGGCGAGGGGCGACGAGGCGCGGGCGATCCTCGTCACGCAAATCAAACCCGCCGAAGCCATTCCGCCAGCGGGGTCGCCTGGCTCGCGCGCGGGACGCAGAGGAGTCAGAGGCGGAGTCACAGGCGCCCCCTCCCGCTCCTTCCCCTCTGCACTCCGTGTCGCCGACCTCGCGCCGCAAAAGCAAACGCCCTGCGCCTTGGAGCCCGCCGCATCACGCCGCCTCGCCGTACGGCGCCGCGCGGCGGCAGGCGCGATGCAACTCGCAAGCCCGCGCGCGCGGCTCAAACGGCGCTGGCTCTGGAGCCTCCGGTTCCTCGACAGATGCGGCCCGCAGCGACAAGGAGAAACAGCGCCAGGAGAAGCGCGAGAGACAGGAGCGATTCGGCGCCGGCGCCGCTGCCGCGAAGCCTCAAAAGAAGAAGAGTCGGCGGGGCGGTCGAGGCAAGCGGGGGCGGCAGGCTGGCGAGGAGCCCCCGAGCCCTCAGCCGCGCCGCAGCCGCCGCGGGGGAGGGGTGCAGTAGAAGAGAGTAATTGGCACCTGCAGTTGTAAGTACGTGTTGCCATGAGACCCCTCCCCACCGCCCCGATCCCCCCACCCCCTTGCTCCCCTCCCCCCCTCGGGAGGGCCGAACTGAGGCGCCCGAGGGGACCCCGCAATTCCCTTCCCCCCTCGGAGGGCCGGACTGAGGCGTCGAGGGCCCCGCTCTGTCCCTCGCATAGCGGCCACTCTTCGGATCGCTGGTCGAGCGACCCGGGGGATGCCCCGCGCGCCTGACCCAGGCGCGAAAACGAATCTGCGAGGCGTGGCCGCTCACGCGGCCCGATGGGGAGGAGGGGAAGACGTAGGGCGTGCTTGCGCGCCTTTCCGAGGCCCCTCCAGCCCACCCGCGCTAGGTCTTGGGGGACGAAGGGGTCACACCCGACGACCTCGGGAACTAGCCGGGGCAGTCGGAGAAGGGGCAACTCCGTGCACTGACGGTCGGCCGCCAGAAAACACGCCTCCGTGGCTCGGGTTACACCAATCCTCGCTACCCAACGCGGCCAAAGGATATCCACCTCGAGAACCTCGAGAGAGAGAGTGTTGCCATGCACATTTTGCAGCTGCTGCGAATGAAGGATTAGAGGGAGGGGCTGATAGCGGGTGTTGCGTGTGTCTCGCCCCGCAGCCCCGAGAGGCCGGAGAGCCACCACAGCAGCGCACACCACAGTGGCCGAACTTGTGGCCACACAGCGCCGGTTGATGTACCGTGGCTTCACTCGGCGTACGCAATCGCTGCCGGCTGTCGCCTACGAAGGCAGTGCACGAGCTGTCCGCTACGCGATGGCGAGGCATCGGCGGCATCAGAGGGCGAGGCAATGGATGGCGCATCGCACCGCCTCGGAGTCAGACACGCCATGGGCGGAACTAATATGTCAGGCTGTAGACCGTGTCGCAAGCTCTGCTCTGCTCTCATAGGTGGTTGATGGACAATCGGCATGGCGGACGAGCCTCCCCACTCTTCTGGTGTGTTGCGGTCCGCCGGCTCTTCTGGTGTGTTGTGGTGCGACGACCGAGTGCTGCTCGCTCGAGGCCGCCGCCCTTTGCACGCGGCGCTCAGGCGTGACGAGGACACATGCGGATGGCGCACGACACTCGGCGGCCATCGGGAGGCGCCAGCTCGGCGGTGGTAGCGACCCGTGGCCGCAACGTAGTGGTGTGGCGCTGAAGCTAGCTCCGGGACGTACGTATTTCGATAATTATGAACGATTTAGTCCAGAATTTCACAACAAAAGGCTCTCGCACACGCACGATTCACACGACAGACAAGGCGCAGACGACGGCTTCCTTAGAAGCCATCGTCCTCGCCACAAGAGCCGGCGTCCGAAATCCCCTCCTCCGACACCCGCCCCACCCCACCCCACCCCGGACCCCTCCCCAAAGCCCCACCCCGTCCCGACCCACCCCGCCCTCCCCGCCGGACCCTCCCCAAAGCCGCAATCGACTCCGCCCCCCTCCCGATTCCCCCATCTGCGCGTGCGCTCGCCACCCGCGCCGCCGTCTCCCCCATGCGCACTTGCGCCAGCAGCCGTCCCGCCTGGCGCCTCGCCCGCCGCCCGCCGCCTCGCCCGGTCCTCACGCCCGCCCGCTCGACCGCCGCCTCCGCTGGCGTCCTGACAGCCGCCCCGCCCGCCACCTGATCCTGGATTGTACTCACCTGGGAATAAAAGAACGGAGTGCCGGCCACGCCCGAGACGAGCTCGGGCGATTTACCTCCGACAGTCGCGTGAACGTGGACATCTCCAAGACCAGAAGGCGGGCCAGAACTGCCAGCCGACAGCACCGTGCGCCTAAGTCCCTCCTCCGCCGGCGGCGTGGAATCCGATGTGTCAATTGACACAGCGGGTCCACCTCCGCCAGGAACAACTGCGGCCCGCGCCTCGCGGGCGCCGCTCTCCGCCTCTGGGGTGCGCGTGCCACTGCAGCCCTCGCCGCCAGTCACCGCCCCCTCGCCGCCCTCAGCAGCAGCGCTCGTACCAGCACCGCTGTGAGAGCAGCCCGGCTCCATTTTGGAGCCTGAAGCTGCTGCGGGCCAACCTGCGGCAGGCCCGGCATCCTCGTCGGCGCTCGCGTAGCCGCCATCGACGGCCATGCCGTCGAGAGCGGGCGCGCTAGCCGCGCCACCAGCCGCCTGGTCGCCAGCCGCCACCCCAGCAGGGGTGTCGTCCAGCGACAGGCCGCCAAAGGATGCCGCAAGAACAGCAGCTGCGTCCTCCCAGCCCCGTCGGCCGAGAAGAGCTCGGCGGAGCTTCTCCGCCTGGCGCTCGTGGATTCCGAGCGAGGCAATGCCCTTCAAAGCGACCTCCTCGAGGAGGTCGCCAGCATTGCCCACGCCCTTGTCCAGCAGCCTTTCCTTGTATCTGTGGTAAAAGTTGTCGTCAATGCCCGCACGCTCCAAGAGAGGCCTGAGCCCCTCTCTCGGGTCGATGGCGGGCGGAGCCGCCATCGAAGGCTTGGTGCCCGGCCGCGTGGCCCCGGGCTGCGGATCGGTGCTCGCTGGTGGCTGTCGAGAGGGCAGAGAGCGGCTTCAGGCAGCCGCGGACGCACGTTTGAAGTTTCGTGAGAAAAGAATTTAGTCCAGACATCGTACCAAAATCACACGGCATGCTCAGAACATCGAACCGGCCCATGGGAGCGCCGGTTCGGGCTGGAAGTTTGGTTATCCCTGAGTAGTTTCACGTGTCATACTGTGCCAGGCTACCCAATCC